TACCTACCAGAGCTCCAATTAAATATATATATATATATATTAGTATGGACTGAGGAAGCAGCACGTGGGAGAAGTAGTTTGCTAGTTCCCCCTATTTTGTGGTTATACTTGCCTGTGATTTTGCAAATGATGGGGATGATGGGTGTAGGATTGTATTTTCTTCTATGAAATGAGCAGAGACTAGCACAAGTGTTCTAGTTTTTTTATTTAACAAAATAAATTGACAAATGCTTTCTTTGCTCTTGTGTCTGGATCTCTCTCTTTGTGTGTGTGTCTAGATCTGTCTTAAGCGTCTTTCTGGGAGAAACAGAAAAGCCCTTAAAATGCTACAGGTAGGACCGAAGTACACCAGGCAAGAGGGCTGGCAGTGGCTGATTATGGCTGGCTGGGTTGCGAGCCCCCCCTCCCCCCCGGCCTGGAGAGTAGAGTTGCATCAAGTTCTATGGGGTGTTTATTGTGATTGTGGTTCCTTGGTGGTGGAAGGGGTGTCTCTTCACCGCCCTGGGTTTAGCTATTGCCCAACCCCAAACTTTGCCGCTGTAGTTCTATCATACTGGAGGTCTTCTTGAGGGGCTGCTTTTCACAGGTCCTTCCACAGCTCGCCAAGGTGTCCAGCTGTGTGTCCTATTGCAGCCTTCACTGCGTTCGAGCATCATCCTCCTCTTCACCTTCCGCTAAAAGTCAATCCCTGCGGAACCCATAAGGGAGGTGTATTAATTCGCGGTTTTAATTCCTGGTGGTCAAACAAAAGCGGATTTCTGCCCAACTAACTTCCGCGGCTCTCCGGTCCCCGATCTCGGTCCTTCTCCAGCTAGTTTTCTCCTTTTCCCCAATGCTAAGGAACACAGTTGCCCTGCTGAATTGCTGGAAAACTTTTAGGAAAGTTCCTCCTCGCACTGCTGGGGACGGCGGAGCGGGTAAGTGGACAGTCCCCAGGTGCCCCTCTTTGGAGACACGCAGCACGCAGAGGTGGCTTTCAGGCTCTCCTGCTGTTTCAGTGTTTCACAGATATGAGTCCTATGTGCACACACCAATATTTTCTATCTTGTAAAGGGAGAAATGAGTGAGTGAAATGCCATGTTGAAAAAGTGTAGCTCTCTTGAATTTAGTCAAAATCCATCTATGGGACGGCTGGGCGCGTTCACACATCTCTTTACCAGTGGGAGTGAGATCAAATTACGCCCAGAGGTGGCTGGTTTCTCTTTTCGCGCACGTCTGAAGAAAGCTACAGGTTCCTACACAGCTAAAACCCAGGAGAATTTTGTCTTTAGCTTGCTCCAGCGTAAGGAAAAAAGAGTAAAGGTTGCTTGCAGCTAGTAACATTCCTCTCCGCCTTCCCTCGTATTTCATCCCTTCGAAAATTCATCTAATCTGTCCCAGATTAGATTTTTTTTTTCTTCTCTAAAACCTAAGAAAAATAGTTCTTGGCATCCCCACCACCTCACCCCCCAGCACCGCCTAACACGTACACTTTTGCTCCATCAGGACCAACGCCCCCACCTAGTGGTTTAAGCTTGCCGGCTCTGATTCCCTCTTCTATGGTTTCCAGGACAGCGCTGCAGTTTCAAAATACAGAAGTCTAGCAAGGCACTTGATGTGGGTGGGTGGGATGAGAGAATGAGGGAGGACCCCTTAAAATGAAGTGCAAATGAGGCTTCGATTTTGCCCAAGACGAGTTGAGAGCTGGGCACAAGGGAGGAAAGAGAAGATTGTGCGTTTACCAGGAGCGTGACTACTGCAGCCCAAACCGCATCGAACCCCAGGTCTTTGGAGAGTTGCCACCTTAGTTAAAGGAGCACCATTCACTGTTAATGAATGAATATGTTTTAGTCTCTTCATAACACTTATACTTTATTTACTTGTTTATGTCTCTCTACCTATTCTAGAATATAAACTGCTTGAAAATCGAGTCTTGGTCTGTCTCGTTGGCCTCCTTACTACTGGTGCCTAGGAGAATGTCCAGCAGAGATCTACTTTGTGCCAATTTTATGTCTATTTTATGCCTACCTGCCTGGCTTAGACACCCAGGAATTAAGGACACTTGGGTTTGAGCAACTAACCAGCTTTGCTGTTTTGGGTGAAAAGCTCCTCTCTCAAAGAATCTCAATCCATTTCTTCGAAAAGTGGACGGATAGGCTGAGATCAATTACTGTGCTATTGGATGCATTCCATGTACTAAACACAGGGCTTCCAACTGGTTCTTTCTTGTTCGACTCCTTGCTGATAACTGCATTTCCACCCCAGATATTCTGAATCACAATCTGCATTTTAACAGCAATCACAAAAGATTCTTACAGATCTAGTTAAAATGTGGATTCTGATGCTGCATATATAGGGTGGAAATGCAAAGTCTCAGCAGGGGCAAACCGGCATGAACCGGTTCCACACCCTGGCCAAACATTGAGCTTGGTAGACACTGGGGATTTGTAGTTGAAATCATTCAGCCTTAGGACTGAAAATACATTGTCCTTTCCTGGTGCTTTTCTTTAAACTTTCTCTGACTTGTACCTGGACTCTGTTCTACATTTGTTTCTGTTAAGATCAGCACCTGAGGGAGAAAATCTGAGCACACGGTGTATCATTCTGCTTTGGATCATGGGACCTAGGCACTAAGATTGCTTGGTGCTGCTTGTGACTGACTTCCTGATGTGTTTTTGTTGAGGGCGAAGAAGATGCACTGATGGCCATGGAGATGGCTCTAGTGCCTGCTTTGTCTCGAATTCTGATGACCTCTTTCGCGGTAGCCTTTGGGAGGGTACGTGCTCCCTGGGAACTGTTTCCCAGTAGTACTAAACTACCGAGAGGCTGGAACAGGAGGATATAAAAGGTTTCCTTTCACCTATAGGTGGCTTGTGATACTTTTACATTTTTGGGGGAAAGCTTTTTTTTTCCATATTGACGCATAGTGAAGAGGGAGGGAAGATATGAAAAGCACACATTCCTAAAGCTAGATACAAATATTTAGTTTGTATTGTACCAAGAGTTTAGTGTTACTTCAAGTCCGAAGTATATGCACTTATCGGTCGTTTCCTTCTAAGGCGTTATTACCCGCACCTCCTTCTAATCTGGGTGTGGCCCGCAAGGCTGGGTAAGGTTCCAGAGCCTAGAGGTCAGAGTCGGGCTTGCTCCACCTAACAAAGGCCTGGCAGGGCGGGGAGTAGGAGGCTGTAGCCTCGGAAGCGACGCCGGGACTGTGCCCGAGACCGCGTCTGAGGGCGTGGTTCTGAATGGCACAGCGCGCAGCAAGCTCCGTACCGAGCGAAGGCGACAACAGAACTGCGCGCCGGGGTGCCAGGGTCGGAAGAGGGGCCAGAGGAGTGGAGGTGGGGAAAGAGGGAGGTAGGAGCTGGTGGAGCTGCCGAGGCTGGGTGTAGGAACAAGGCTGGAGAAAAGAAGGGAGGGAGAGAGAAAAAAGGAAGGTGGTGGGGAGCAGGCGTCCGCACTCGCCGCGTCGCACGAGTTGCTCGGCTGTGGTGGACTGGACTGGGACTCTATAAAAGGAACCGCTCTACGCCTCTGCTCACACACTCCTCCTGGGCTGGCGCACACCGAACACCGAGTCCCTCCAGCTCCCACAGGCACCTGCCCTTTCCGCGTGCGCTGCTCCAGGTCCCACAGACCCGCGCGTCCAGCGGTATGGCTCCAAGCGGTGCCCGTGAGGCAGAGGAGGAGGTGGCGTTGACGGAGGCACGGCCTGAGAAGCCGCAGCCCCAACCTTCGAATACCCCCTTTTGCGGCCCCGTCTCCGCGGGGCAGCTAGCCAGTGTGGCCAGCGCGTGAATAAGCGAGGGAGGGCAGAGCTCCCGCGCGGCGCGAGGCGCGGTGCGGAGCTCAGACTTCACCCCTCCCAGCTCTGGCGGCCGCCGCCGCCTCAGGAAATTGCCCTGGCATGGGGAGGGGGCGGTAATACAACACTCAGTCCTCCTTGGCTGACAAGCTCTGGTCTCAACAACAGCAAGGAAACTCCTGCGGGTCGAGTCTGCAGATCCGGGAGCGCCCGGGATAGGAGACGCTCAGCCCCGAGCAAATGGGGTAAGAGACCCCGATGGGCTAAAGCCCTCTTCCTAAATAATATAATCCCTACCCATTATTAGACGCTGGGCCAGACCTTAACAACCCGGGGCTAAGATCGGTGTGAAGAGGAACAGCCAGAGACGCGGCGACAGCGCCAGGCGCACGGGAAGTGCAGGGGACGCGCCCGCCCGCCTCTGCTGCCGCGCCCTTGACCTCTAGCTTTAGCTGGGACCTGAGCGCGGGAGTAATTGAAAAACCCATGGACTGAGAAACAACAGAGGAAACCTGTGGTCTCGTACTTGGTCCTTCCGCCGTCTCCCTCATTCGCTCCATGCCCGAGAGCTGCGCTCTCCAGCCTGGGTAGGACAGCCATGGAGGAGCCGGGCGCTCACTGCGCTCCTCCGCCGCCTGCGGGCTCCCTGACTGAGGTTCTGCTCGCCAACCTCTCCACTGCTCGCTCCCACAACTGCAGTGCCGAAGGCTACATTTACCAGGACTCTATCGCCCTGCCCTGGAAAGTGCTGCTGGTCATCCTGTTGTCGCTGATCACCTTGGCCACCACGCTTTCCAATGCCTTCGTGATCGCCACTGTGTACCGGACCCGGAAGCTGCACACCCCAGCCAACTACCTGATCGCCTCCTTGGCAGTCACCGACCTGCTCGTGTCCATCCTGGTGATGCCCATCAGCACCATGTACACTGTCACCGGACGCTGGACTCTGGGCCAGGTGGTCTGCGACTTCTGGCTGTCGTCGGACATCACCTGTTGCACTGCTTCCATCCTGCATCTCTGTGTCATCGCCCTGGACCGCTACTGGGCCATCACCGACGCCGTGGAGTACTCAGCCAAAAGGACTCCCAAGAGAGCAGCGGTCATGATCGTGCTGGTCTGGGTCTTCTCCATCTCCATCTCTCTGCCACCATTCTTCTGGCGCCAGGCCAAAGCCGAGGAGGAGGTGTCGGACTGCGTGGTGAACACAGATCACATCCTCTACACTGTCTACTCCACGGTGGGCGCGTTCTACTTCCCCACCCTGCTCCTCATCGCCCTCTACGGCCGCATCTATGTGGAAGCCCGCTCCCGGATTTTGAAACAGACGCCCAACAGGACCGGCAAGCGCCTGACTCGAGCCCAACTGATAACCGACTCCCCCGGGTCCACATCCTCGGTTACCTCCATTAACTCGCGGGCTCTCGATGCGCCCAGCGAATCCGGGTCTCCTGTGTACGTGAACCAAGTGAAAGTGAGAGTCTCTGACGCCCTGCTGGAAAAGAAGAAACTCATGGCCGCTAGGGAGCGCAAAGCCACCAAGACCTTGGGGATCATTTTGGGAGCGTTTATTGTGTGCTGGCTGCCCTTCTTCATCATCTCCCTGGTCATGCCTATATGCCAGGATGCCTGTTGGTTCCACCTGGCCATCTTTGACTTCTTCACGTGGCTAGGTTATCTCAACTCCCTCATCAACCCCATCATCTATACCATGTCCAATGAGGACTTCAAACAAGCGTTCCATAAACTGATCCGCTTTAAGTGCACAAGTTGACTTATCATTTGCAGTTGGGTCGCCTAGGTGGCCTTTGGGGACCATTTGGGGTCTGGTCCCACAGGTAGGTCGACTCTTCTTTCACTGTTACTGGGTCAGAAGGAGGCTCTCCAGGGCAAAGGCAATGGATCCTGAGAAGCCAGGACAGCCCAAAGAGAGCACTGAGAGCAGAGCTGCTCCAACTAAAGGTAGAGCTTCCCTGAGAAGGTAGAGGCTCACTTCCTCCTCTACCCCCAGGCTCGCACCGACCCTGCTGCAACCAGTCCAGCGGAAGGTTGCAACTTTTTTTTTCCCCCAAAGTTGATGGAAAGGTGATCTTTGGCCTGCTTTGGTGTCATGGATGATGCCCTCTAGAACCAGTGGTACTTAGTTGTCTGAAAGGCTGTCTGAGACAGATCTACATACAGCCTGGCAGTACTTGAACTAGACCTTTAATACCTGGTGTTTTGGGGAGAACTTTGTTTTACTTCTTCAGTTAAAAACAGTTACTTTGACATTCTTCAGACTTCAGTTTTTCTTTATTTAAACTTGGTTGGAGAAACTTGTGGATTTGGTGCTTCAAACCTTAAGTGTGGCTTGGATGGTACAGAAAAACGTTGAAGAGTTAACAGCAAAATCCTGATGCTAAGATCTCTATTTTTATTATGATTGACACTAAATGGGGGTGGGTGGGAACGGGAGATGGGGAGAGTTGAACTGAGAACCAGCACCTATGATTGTTTGTTTTCTGAAGATTTGTAACTTTTTAAATTCCTGTTTAGGGATTGTTAACATTTTTAACAACACGAACAAAACATTACGTGTGCTAGTGCCAAAGTCTGCAGATTGCTTTATTTTTCCTCCTGATTTCATATACTTGTCATTTCACACATTTAAATCCCCATAAATGAAGGGTATGATGGGTGACACAGCCCAAACAGCTGCTATGTTTCTTATTAATGCAGTCATTTAAATTGATTAATGTTAGATTAATACTGCTCTTTAACAAGTGAATCTTTATTCTTTATACAAGTCAATGAGACATGAAGGACACTGATGATATAGAAATTGTTCTTACATGTTTAAGGAATTGAGGGCAATAGGAGAATGTATATTTTGACTTGTAAAAAAATCTTGAAATGCATGAGACTTTTTTCTGATAGTCATTTGCACTCTCCTTTCCATCTGTAATTCCTTTGTGTGTTGACATATAAAGTAACTAAGAGAACTGGCTCTCTTCTTCAGAAATACTTAAAATGCAGTCAGAGTCCTAAGAACTATATCAAAGGAAAAACAAAACAAAATCAAGCACCTATTTCTGTTCCCTTGCTATTGAAGTTTGGACAAGAACAAAGATTACTACAAAATAACAATGCAAGAACTTTAGAAAAGTACAGGGAAGCTAAAATTGAGCCTGTTTTCCTTGTAACTCATGGGACCAATCCTGAGACTTACTAGGCAATCAGAAACTTTGACAATCCTTTGCACCTTGGGAATTTGTCGCTGACTTTGACACCACAAGAATATACTATCTGGAATATTTTAAATTTATCTGCCTTTTCAAATTTCAACAAAACTTAGTTATTATCTCAATTTTACTCTGAGGACTCCACAATACAGGGCAAGATTCCATTACAAGATGAAAAAAAAAAATGCATTATCTAAATAAAAAGAAGTAGCCCTGAAGGATCATCTGTGCAGGAAAAAAAAAAAAGTGTTTTATGGAGAGCATTTAATATGACAGAGAAGATTCACACTTCATTCTTCAGAGGGCTTTTTGCAGTTGATACCTTTTGTCTGCAGAAGCAAGTTGTCTTTGTAAAATGGAGTCGCTCCCTACCTGAAGCTCCCCAGTCCACATTGTCAAATAATGGATGTATTGAACTGAAGTACACTGCCTGCCTACTGTGCAGAACTGCACTCTGTGGTAATGACTCTTGAAAATATACTATTCAAAAGTTCATACACAAACTAAGTAAAAAAGGGGATTTTGATCACCATTTATATCTGTTATCAGAGTAAGATAAAATTTTAAGCATTAGCTAATCCTGTATTTCAGCTGGGTCCCCAAGTTTCTTCATTCGTTGTTTGTGACATTTCTCCTATGGAGAAATCTAGCTTGCTGCTGATAGGAATGTGCATAGAGCACGATATTTGTTATGTTATTAATATGTTTGTCTTTTGTTTAGGCAACTGTGTTTTCTTAGAGTCTAAAAGGCAATTAAGTCAACTTCTAGGCACCTGAGAGGGGGAAAAAATAATCAAAACAAGTAGCGAGTTACAAATGATTTCCGTATAGGGCACCTAGAATGATTGTGTCCTCATATTAGCAAAACATAGTTTAGTCACAGGGCTTGTTTGCCACTTTGTAGATTACTCATATAAATTTTTGCTTGACTATTTGGCTGAATTGACTGGATTTTGGGGCATATTGTGTGAAATAGAAGCTTGCAAACCTTTGTAGTTATAAGAGATCTAGAATCATCTTCCAGCATTGCACATGATTATGCAAAGTGTATTATTCATCCCAGGGGTATTTAGGTAAGACTGTTAAGCTCCTTTCAGTTATTGCTGCCTATAGCATAGCTTGTTTCATAAGCTAGACAAATGGCTTTTTTGCAGAACATAAAATGGGAGATGGGAATGTTTAATTTCAACAAAAATGAAAATGTATTTTCATTGGCTATGATAACAAATCCCATTTTCCATATTATTTAATTGCACAGATTTTTGCACAAATATATGAATGTATACTCATCTAAAAATACCGAGATTGTCTTGTGTTCTAGGAATTTTAGAGTTTCCTTTTTCAAAATGAACACTGTACCCATGAATAGATGGTTGTTGAGTTCAACAGATTTCCTACAGAACAGTATTCTTCACTTTTCCTCTCTATTATATTAATTTTATCTTTTTAAATCAGGAAACCCTGAGAGAAGTATAATTCACTCAAGCAGTAAAATCTCAGATTATGTGTTATTTGATGGAGTTACTGTGACTGAAAATTGCCTTTGGTATTCCACATTTCAATATATGTGTAATTGGAAATGAAATTTAGGAAAATAATGAAATAAAAGTCTTTTTGTGTTCTAAAGAGCATTGAGTAGTAATTCTATTATTATGAAAAGATTCATTCAGTTTACCTGGGCTATGTTCAAGAGTTTGACCAATTAAGAGAGCATGATTGATGATAAATGATACTGTGGAAGATTGCTTCATACTGCCATAATGTAGACTACTTAGTTTACGTCTGTGAGAGTAATTTAGGAAACATTGGGCTCTCACATTTTGCAAAGAGGATAACACAAATCACAAAGAGGTCCACGATCACAGGAATTTACCAGAGTAGCATTCTTAGAGGGAACGTTTAGGCTCTAGGATGAGTAGTGATATTCCAAGATACTGTGTGGCACTGGAAATTCAGAAGAAAGAAAAAGGAGCTGGGTTAAGACAAGTGTGAGGAGGGCTGAGAAGAGGAGATTTTCCAACCCAAACACCAGTGAAGTGGACAGAAAGGTGGCTTTTGGTATTAGAGTTCCAGTTTTGAATTGCAAATAGAGCATGTTATAGCTGCCTGGTTCTCCCTCTCAAATGCAGCCGGTTGCAAGTTCTTGCAAAGGATTAGAACCTGTACATGCAAACTACTTATCAAGATGCCTGATGCTTTTCTGGCTCTCCACAGATGGTAGCTCCATTTAGGTATTATTTCCCATTGCCTCCTTAGTGCACATGAGGCACCTGTAATTTAAAAAAACTGAGCACCACTTGGGAGAGGTTGGACTGAGAAAGACCAAAGTAGCCAGAAGGAAGAAACTTGGTAAGAAGGAACTGAGGTTTGCAGCCTTTCACACTTACTCCCCTAGGATGCTGACATACAACACAAAGACCAAACGGTGGCAGGAGAGATGGTTTTTCAGTAGTTTTTATGACCTAAGGGAAAACTGCCAAATATTTAGTTTCCTATAAATCAGTTAAACTAGTTCCCATCAAGTTGATACTGACTCTTGGTGACCCTTTTTGTGTTACGGTAAAATTGCTCCAGAGGGTTTGCAATGTCTGACTTTTGGAAGTAGATCGTGAGACCATTCTTCTGAAGTGCTTCTGGATGGACTTGAACCTCCAACTTTCCAGTTAGCAGCCAAATGCATTATCTGCACCCAGATCTCTATAAACCAAATCAAAGCAAACTTGTTGCCCTCCAGTTGCTTCTGATTTATAACAGCCTTACAGGATGGAGTAGAATTGCCCCATGAGGTTTCCAAAGGAGCCCTGGTGGCACAGTGGTTAAGTACTCAGCTGCTAACCAAAAGTTCATCTGTTCAAACCCACAGCTGTACCATGGGCTAAAGATGTGGCAGTCTGCTTTCATAAAGATTTACAAGCCTGGAAACATTATGAGGCAGTTCTACTCTGTGGTAGATGGTTGCTAAAAGTTAGAATTGACTCAGTGGCAAAGGGTTTGGTTAATCTTTCTGAAAGCAGACTGCCATCTTTTTCTCCCACGGAGTGGCTGTTGGGGTCTAACTGCCAGCCTTTCAATTAGCAGCTCAGTGCTTAACCACCATGCCACCAGAGCTCCTCAGTAACTCTATAAAAAAAACAAACAAAAAATAAAATAAACTCACTGCCATGAGAGATTTCTGGCCATTTTCCCACAGTCCAAACTTTCCTGCTACATCTTCATCTTTTCTCAGCATCTTATTTTCCACTTCTTCACGTTTTTCTTATCCAGACAAAGCCATCATAACCATCAGTGAATGATGTGTTCTTTTAAAGTTTTTCTTATTTTATCTGTGGAGGGCTGATTAAGTAGCCCCAGATTTTTACATTATAGAAAAGGAAATTGTTGATATAAATGAATATGTAATTAGTGGAATCCCAAACTTTCAGTTGGGACGCTATAGTTTTCAGGAGAGAAGAGGCTAGTAGAGGAAGAACGTGGGAAGTGAAGCTTCTGCATCTTTCATCAAAACCCACTCCTGAACTGCCCACCAGAGGGCACAGTCCCTCTGAGTTGTTTAGTAGATGCAAGCACTCATCATTCAAGTCTAAATATTTCTTACTGGACGTTTCACAACTGTTATTACTCCTCTAAATTCAGTGAAAACAGAGATCCATGAGCCACCAAAAAGTAGATTGATCAGTGACTACAAGCAGTAGCTTTTTCATAACTACAAATGCAGGCCGAGAATCCCTAAAGCAACCCTAAAGTTCTCCTGCATACGTGCAAATTTATTTTCTTATTCATCTCTAGTACTGGAAGAACGCTACAATCTTAGTATGCTAAAACATTGTGACTTTTGATCAATGTGGCACTGAGTGAAATGAAATGTTAGAAGACAAGTAATTTCTATTCAAAATTGAGGGAGCTATTTATTTAAGAGTCACTGGGTAGACAGTGCTGGAGCTAACGGAGTCATGAGTGGAGGCGGCTCCATCCTCCCTCATTCCTGTGGCCCACACCTTGCTGATTTTTGAGGTG